CCTACAGCATTTATTAAAAAAAATGAGTAAATTACAAGACTAGATTTAAAAAAAAAGAACACACACACACACAAACAAAAAAAAAAACAACAAAAAAAAACCCCACAAACAACCAAACCAAGCTAAGGTCCCAGCACCACTGATCTCCTTCCCCTGGCTGGAATACAGAAGTCCAAGTGTTGAGCTGATCAGAGGACTACAGCTTAGATTTATAAATGTAACTTCTGCCAAATGCTTGCATGAATGCAGATGTAGTTCCCATTTTTGTGCCCCTATCTTTCTTCAGTGTCTCTTCTTTTCCTTCTTCTATTCAGTGTTCTTCCTTTATTCATTACTTGGCAAGCATTCTAATCTAGCTACAAAAGTTTTATTCTGGACTATGGTATGTCTAATAATTGAGAGTAAACTAGTGTCTGACAGATGGCAACAAGTATACAGGAGCATCTCCATTCTTTTGCCTTTCTGTGGGCCAAGTTATCTACTATCTCTGCTCTTATGATAACCATAATCGCCATTCTTACAATTCAAACCATGGTAATTAAGTTGACTGATTTGCTGGGAAGCATTACGTAAAATTACATGCAACTACGGAAATGTTTTACCACACCACACAAAAAAATAGCTTTGAACATCCACTTTTCTAAGTGTTACTAAAACCGAGCCCACAAACATGTAAAAAGATAATTTTCTCCCTGTTTTTAATGTTGGGATTTTAAGAGAATCCTAGGAGTATATTACATCTAGTTCTCACTGAGTTTAATGACATAACTGATAACAGAATGAGTTAATTATTAATCACTCCTGTATTTTATACCATTTAAAGGTATAATTTGGTGAAAAATCAAGACTAAAGTAGTTTATTTTATATTTGCTATCTACATTTCAAGAGAACCTTTGATCTCTCCTAGACCTTGACAGCTTTGTACAACCTCTCAGCCTAGATAGGTCGTGTAAAGAGAGCTATATGCCCAAGAGAGCATGTTTAAACTTCAGATCAAGACTTTTTTGTTGATATTGTTTTGATAAATCTCAGCTGAAGGTTTTTTTTGCACAACTAGAATACAGTGCTAAATTCAGCACTCGGTAGCACAAGCATAAAGTGTGATGTATTCCTCTGAAGTGAGAATCTGTTCCAATGCACCACAATGAACATTTCTATATACTCTTAAAACCAGAACATACTTCATCACCCCTCATCCTCCATTATTCTGACTTTGGTTTTACTCAAGTACCAGAAACGAACATGTGCAAACCTCAACGGTTTAGAAGTAAATAAACAGCACCACCAGTGCAAATATAAACATTCTTTGTTGAATTATGCAGTATGAGAACATACAGAAACAAAAGGACATTAAACATTAAGATTAATAATAAAATCATCGCAAAGTCTAAGCTGGATTTGTTACAAGAAATTATTTCTTTTATCATTAGTTGGCAAGCTGGTTTAGAAACATAACAGGATACGATTATTGTACATTTTTCTGGCTGTAAGGTGCTAAATATAGGTGCTATCCATGTGTATTAGAACAGATAGAAAACAATCTTTAATCAGCTGTCTTTTAACATGTATTTTCTTTCAATTTTTGTTGAAAAGAGGTGAGGCTAGGACTTAAAAACCATAATACAACAACCTTTCACCAATAGACTAAACATTAGAATGATACACACAGACAAGAAGTTTTTTGTAGTATTTTCTAAGTAGACAATTCTTAATCAAAGAGAAGCTTTGTTTTATATCCAGGCTACTTTATTATTCCTTACCTTAAAAAAAAATATACATCTATTACCAGAAAGATCAGAATAACCTTTTGTCATAACATAACTATGTAAGTTTAGCCTTGCTTGCTTAAACTAAGGACTTAGCTTTCCTCTTGTATATATTATAATTTCTACTATTAACAAGAGAGTTTATAGTATCATAGGTAAATGCTCAGCTTTGCTCAGTTTCTAAGTTTCAGCACATTGTTCAAAATTCCCATGGGACACAAGCAAGTGAGGTGAAGATTATAAAGAGCAGTAAGACTAAATCAGAGTTGTATTTAAGGCCCAGTACAGTATACAGCAGGTAAAAAAAAAAAAAGCCATAGTCTTTTTGTGCAAACTCTTAGCCACAAATCATAACACTGCATCAATGATGCATTGTGTTGGGGAAACATGCTCTTCTCCTGCAGCATTTGCAAGACAAAGCATCTATACAGCTCTACTGAGACCTGCCTTAAGTGAAGGGTTACAAATGACTCTCAGACATTTATATTTCCACTGTTAATAAGTTAGAAAAGAAAAATCCAGAAAAAAGATAAGAATCTTGATCAATTGGGCTTTCTAACAAGAAGATTGGAACAGCAGCACAGAAAAGGAGACAAACTGTAAATAGTACTTATGCTGGGGACCTCAGGGCATTAAAACACTAGAGAGGGTACTGCAGATTTGTGTTGATATGTCTGTTCTCTGCATGAGTGCAAAAAGGCTGATCCCAAAAAAGACAAATGTGTAACATACACAGGGCGTTAATATTGACTTTGGAAGGCTGAACTGAAGAAAACAAAGTTCTCTCTTACTCTCTCCACAATCAGTATCAATCAGCATCAAAAAATACACTGCTATATGACACTTTGTACTAAACTTTCAAAAAATCAGCTTCTAAGGAAGCTCATTGTTTACTTTTTGTTAATTTTGATTTATAACCCAAATCACTCATAAAATACTAACTGTAATACTCTCCCCACAAAAACAAGAGATCAGAGACTACTTCATGCTCCATCCTGAGAGTCCGTAGTCCCAGTTCAAACTTCTCTGTAGGCTGAATTACTATTGGAAACACAAATTATTAAAGTTTTACCAGCAATTGTTTTCATCACCTTTCACAAGAAAATGACGTGGACCCATTCGATTGCTACAGTCCAATAATTATAATAAACCAAAATAATCCTAAACTCAACATGTAAATACCCAAAGAGGTATTAAAAGTATTGCCTGAAAATATAATGTACAGAATTTTATTTTTGCTGCCTACAGTTTATAGTCCAATATGCATAAATGGACAAGTAATTAGAGAAGTCAGTTGATAGCATACACTAATCTTTGCCAAGAGATAAATATCTCTTGTATTTCAGTTACAGTCAATAGAATATATTTTAAAATAAGCATGCTGCATTTTATCAGTGATTCAGTATCTCAGGTATCTAAGCTTCAAACCTACATGTGTATAATTTTACACAATAATTTAGTCACAAATTTACAATAGGCACAAATCCAAACCAGTGAAGATAACAGATTTTGGATCGGGTTTGCACTTTGAAAGACCAATTACATTTATTTAGCTATTTTTAAACTCTTACTTCACCTGTAAGTATTCCACTGTATAACAGATTTATACGCAATTAAAGGACTCAGCTATTACTAAAGTCGTAGAAGAAAGCTGTGCTCTCAGTCACCTGAGAAGAATAACTGTAGCATTTACATTATATCCACTGTTTAATTAGAAACTTTCAGTTACTCATTTACTGAAGACAGGATTTTTCACCTATTTCTTTTGTTCTGTTTTTTCTTGGGTGGGAGTTAAGGGCAGAGAATCACATACAGGAGCATAGTTACTATGAATTTACTGTGTAAAAGTAAATATACTGGCATTAATAAAATACAGAAATGGGCAAGTTTTGCAATAATTAATGAAAGAACAGTTATTGGGTGTATACTTAAACCAAGTACATTCTTATTTTTAAGAATAGACAGCTAGCAGAATCTACATATATAATGAATTGGGAAACTCAATTTGATACTGCTGTTCACATATTAATGTGAAAAGAAAAATACATGCACTTATATCTCAATTTTGCTACATACTTTTGGTAGAAAGTAGAAGTTGTGATTAGAACATGCACATTTTCTTAACTACAAGTTTAAAAGTGGATTTTTTTTTGATGCACAATCAATTTGCATTAATATGAGTTATTCCCATTATTAGAAAAATAAATAAATTTTGCAAATTTTCATTTATTTTGGTTGGAATCCAAGAACAGAGAATACGAACAACAGTTAGTCTTCAAATATTAAACAACTGCTTCAAAAAAAAGGAAAAGAACAATCTTTTCTCCAGATCCATGACAGGGAAGATGAGAAGCAATTAGTTTCAGCTGTGCCAAGAATGATTTGGGGGAGACATCAAGAAAAATGTGCCAGCTGTTTCCCTCTGGGAAAGACATCCTGTGTAAATTACAAAATGTCTCTCAGTGCAAGATTTTTTTCAAAAAACAGGTTAAACAAGTCTGTCAGGAAGGACATAAGATTGTTGATTCTGCTTTAGGGCAAGAATACAGAATACATAAGCTGTTAATGTCCCTAGTAGCCCTGCTTTACTATGACTGAAAAATATCCCCTGTAACCACTTATTTTGAGTGAAACAGATCTGCAAAGACATTGTACCTGTAAGCCCTGCTTAACTTTATCTGACAGTGTAAAAATATTGCACTGCAGACAGGTTCATTTTGTTCCCAAAATGGAATTAAGTCAAAGATGATGTGCTTTGTCCTCTGGAACACAAATTTCAGAATACGGTATGCCAAACGTGGGTAAGGTTATCCGCAGACATTGTGGTTTTGTTCCAGAGGCAAAAAGGTTCTCAAGCATACTGCAGAAAAATCAAACCTCAAAAAAATGCAGAAATTATCAACAGTTCCACTGCACCACCAGTATCTGTTTTCATATAAAAAAATAAAGTGTTTGCATTAAATTTTATTGCACCATCAACTTTTTTTTTTAAATATCCCCCATTCAAGTCAAATATTAAATTATTTATATCAAACAAAATATAAGGTCTTCTTTAAAGTATCAAGTAGATATGCGCTATACAGAAAAAGAACAGTCTAAAGGAATGACAAACATCAAATCAGAGATGACAGAAAACAATCATTAGGTTGTTTCTTTTCCATGACTAAAAAGATTGCAAAAGGATTGTGTAGGCTATTGTATGCATTGTATGCATGAAAAGCATCCCTCCTCATTCAAGGTGTTGAAGCAGGTGACACCTTCAAGCTGTCAAGTGCTGCATGAATTCTGAAGTGCAACCTGGACTCCATAGAGTATTCTTTGTAGTTGTTTCTGCAAACAACAAAGTTATTTTAAGAAAAACATTTTTGGCCTGGATTGTTTCTACTTCATACATGCACTGAAGGACCAAATTTAACAGCCTTGATTCCTTCAACAGGAAACAGAGGTTGATACACAGATGACTTATGAGATATTTAAAGGTACATGTACAAACTGAGCAGAGACTTATACCAGTACTAACAATTAAATGTCCTGATAAACTGAATCCATGTTTTAGCATCTCTTTCACTTACTTTGATCCTTTCAACAGCCTCTCAATTACTGAAGTTTACCGTGAAAAGACAAACTAGAAGACTACAGAAAAGAAAGGCTGTTAGCTGAAAGTGTATGTTCAGCTTCAAAACACAACTCAGCCAGAGCAACAAAACACAGGGAAATCACATTATGTAACACAAGCAAACAAACAGGCAAAGAACTACTATGTTTCTAAAAAAAGATTTTAGGAGATTGTTTCAAACTCGCATTTACAACACCATTGCCTGATTAGTATATTTCTCTGTATACATAAGGGGCAAATTCTACCCCATTCTACAACCTACAGATGAAGCAAACATGCTGTTCTACAGTAAATTTAGCTCTCTACTGCTCTTCTGTGACAGGATGTGAAAGCAAAAAGGGAGGTGGTCAGAAGCATACTGGCTTTTAACCTACTCCCACTAACACATTTAGTGCACTAGATGTAAGCCTCACATCTGCGCTCTGGGACAGAGGTAGTATAGATTCTTTCCCTGGACTATCCAGCTCCATCCCATGCATGCCGTGGAGCCTCAGCATCTCTGAAGCCTAAATGAAAAGGAGGCATTTTCCCCTCATACTGTCTATTCCACTGTGTCTGAAGGACAGAGTTTCTTGAAACTGTAAAATTCAATTTTTTCAAGTCAGGAACACAGATTTATAATTACTTGTATTTTGCAAAGGGTCTGGCAGGAAGAAAACCCACATGCCTTCATTGCTAAAGTTACTCAGTTATTCTTAATCTACATGCTGATTAAAAAAAATCCACTTACTTTGCAGCTTCTATGTATCTTATTGCTTTTTCTCTCTCATCCTGTTCTTTGTACAGGAGACCCAACTCATACAGGGTGAACGGCACCAAATAACTATCATATTTTATTTGCTTCTCACTAGAAAACCAGAAAAATACAGAAGTGGTTAATTACAACCTTTCCTTGAGTGACCAGTTAATTCTTAAATGCAGTCACTGCCTGTAAAAGCATATGACCAAAGAAAACACTCTGGAACCTTTTTCACTGGTTAACTCTGTACACATTAATTATACCTGTAAAGAGTGGACGTAAAATACTGCCAACATGACCTTCTAGGAGCAAAAATTTATTCTTTCCTACTCCCTGTTTGTATTGTGGTATGTTACCCAAGTACCACAAACACAATTCCAAGACTGGGACCCTATTGTGTGACTTACAGTTCAAAAAAACCCAACCATCCAAAAAGATAACTTCAAATAAAACCAACGTTCATCAGGTTAGGTAGCGTAATACAAATATTTATTTCCCACACACAGAACTGAGATTCCCTTACCCTAGCTTGCCGGAACAAATGAACAGAGAAGTAAGAAAATTCACATTTTCCTCAATACAAGAAATTCTAGGAACCACTGTAGATTATGATCGCAGAATCATAATCTCAACATGAGATTAGAAAAATCTCATAATCTCTCTCTTTTACACCAGTGAGTCCAGGACTAGAGACAGTACTCCAGATGTGGCCTTATCAGTACTGAGAAGGGACGAAGGATCACCACTCTTGACTTGGTGATGAACTCTTCCTAATGCAACTCAGGACACTGTTGGCCACCTTTGTTGCAAAGGCACATTCCTTGCTTATGGTCAACTTGGGGTTGACTGTGATGCCCAGGAACCCCAGGGCATTTTCTGACAAGCTGTGCTGGTACATGGGGTTATTCCTCCCCAGGAACAGGGATTGGTGCTTCCCTTTGTTGTACTTCATGAGGTTGTTTCTCCAGCCTGTTCAGGTTGCTTTGAATGGCAGCACACTCATCTGGCTTATCAACCACTCCTCCCACTTTATATCATCTGCATATTTGCTGAGGTTGCATTCTCTCCCATCATCCAGGTCTTAACTAAAATGTTAAAAACCAGTGGCACCAGCATCAAAGTCCACATTATTCTGCTTGTGATTGGCCTCCAGGTGACTTCACACTGCTGATGTCAGCCTTCTGAACCCAGCAGTTCAGTTAGTTTTCAATCTATCTCGCTACCAACTTATCTAGTTGAGATTTTGTCAGTTTGTCTGTGATGATATTGTGGCAGACAGTGTCAAAAACCTTTCTAAACTCAAGACAAAGAACATTCAGTGCTGTCCTCTCATCTAATGAGACAATTATCTCCTTGTAGAAGACTATAAGGATGGTTAAGCTTGATTTCCCCTTCACAAATCTATACTGACTACTCCTGATCACCGTCACGATTTTGGAAATGGTTTCCAGAATTTACTCCACCTTCCCAGGGACTGAGGAGAAGCTGACTGGCCTGCAGTCTTGCCCTTCTTGAAGACAGGGGAAACATTTGCTTTCTTCTGGTCCTCAGGAACTTCCCCTAATTGCCATGACCTTTCAAAGACAATGGAGTGTCACAATGACATTGGTCAGCTCCCTCAGCACTCATGGATATATGCCAATGTCCTATGTACTTGAGTATGTCCAGTTGCCGTGAACATATGTACATCTAATCTGTTCACAGTTTTCCTAACCTGACTCTCCTCCATCAAGGGTAATTCTTGCTTGTTCCAGATCTTCCCATAGGTTTCATGGATCTGGAATTCCTGAAAGTTGATCTTGCCACTACAGAATGAGGTGAAGAAGGCATCATATATCTTGGTCTTCCCTGTGTCTTTTACAATCAACTCTTTGATTCTTATCTGGATACAATATCATCAATCAATACTGCAGAACAAAAAAGTTTGCAACAGGTACCAGAAAAGCTCTCAAAATTTTGAAAGCAACACTTCTAAAGAGGCATCTCATCCAGCAAGACAAGCCTTGATGCACAGAAAGTACGTCTTAAAGCACAGAGACTGCTTATGTGATCAACAGTCTTAATGTACTGTAGCAGCCGAAGAAACATAGAGAGTAAAGCTAACCAGAATGTAGATATTTAATTTACCAGAAAATTTCTCCTCCCCTCCATGCAAAACATCTACTTTATGAAGAAGTTTTGTCTGAAGATTTTTGAGATGTCTCAGCTCTAAAAGCCTCCACTATGTCAACTACCTTTGGGGTAAGATTTTCTAGAAACAGCATTGCTTTAACCTGTAACCAATAAAAACCTACTGCTCTGTAACTTGCAAAGTGCTTGACTAAACTCACTTGGGATCTTAGAAGTGGCAAGAGAAGGTGACATGGCAAGAAAATGATAACAAGCAATAGACTCATACATAACAAATTCTACTTAAATATTACTTTTTCTGAATTATTAGAAAAATTGCATATGTAAAAACTGCTTTTTGAGCCTAATTACTTTAAAAATTCTAAAAAGTTTACAACTGCAATTAGTACATGACTCAACGTCATATAAAGAAAAGTTATTACACTAGATACGGATCTGAAACCCGAAGTATTTGATAAATCTGTAACGCATGAAACTCAAGTGTTCATCTGAAACAAGTAACAACAATAATTTCTCATCTACACAGAGAACTATTAACTATCGAAGCAGTAAATCCTGAAAAAAAAACCCAGGAAATTCACATGAATTATCTTTACTTATACTAATAGTTCTGCAAATGCAAAAATACTAATTCCAAATGTATTTAAATAAATGTGTTACCCATCAGTTTGATTTATTTGGTCTAAACCAGCACATTTATATAAAGCTCTATAATGTTAAATTGCTATATAAAAATACTAGCAAAGATTTGTGGTTCTCCAACTACTTTCAGAGGTATTTTAATTCCAGCTCCTTAGCACGATGTTGAAGTTTAATTATTCTAAATTCTAACATGAAATTTCTAACATCAGAAATTTCACCAAAAGCTACAAAATATAAAGGTTAAAAGTCTGTTTATGTTATTTTTACCTTTGAATTACTTTACTGAAACACAGTTCAGCTTGCATGAGTCTTCCCAAGTGTTTTAAGCAGAGGCCCTTCAGTAACTGCAACACGCATGCATCATCCATATAGTATTCATTGTGACCTAAAAGTAAAAGCAAGATACATCAAACAATTTGAAGATATCACGAAAAGGAAAATTAGATTTTTGGTAGGTAATATGAATTTAGACTCAGGAACTTGCTTCTCAGCTTTTATACCTCAAAACATACCTAACCTTCAGGCACAATTTTAAATACTGTCTACTAAAGAAGATGTGTGCAAAATGTCTGTATCTTTCTCTTTAAAGATACAGGCTAAGAAGAAATAAGAAAAAATTCCCCAGTCTTCTGTTTCTGAAGTCAGTACAAAGCAGGCATAAACTGGCATCACTTAAAGATTTCTGTACTTGTAACATCTAAAACAGTAAGTAAAACCTTCAGTGAAACTGAAACCTCCTTTGCACTACATTATTTTAACAGCTTCTTCTGTTGCAAAGCACTGGAAGAGCTGCAGTAGCACCAGTAATATGAAAAGCACAAGAATATGCTAGGACTCTGTCCTGCAGAACTTTTCAGAAGCATTATTTGGCAGTACAAATTCAAGAAATCGAGTTTATCAGTATTCCTATAATCTCTAATGATTAAGAAGCTTGACTAGTAGTGTATAACATTTGGAAAATTCAAGTCAGTTTTATGGTCAATAGGACCAAAAAAACCAGATGAAAAAGCTCTTGTGATGCGATTCAGAAATATAACCTTAACAAGTGTCGTCCTTTTTAGTTGCCTTGATTTATAGCATTTGCTAGGTGCAAGGAAGGAAAAGAAAGGAAAGAAAACACATATGGATAGACAGATGGTAGCACATACATTAACAATTCAGGAAGCAAAACACTCTCCCTTCAGATCATGTTCTTTACAACTAATTACCAGCTCTCTAAGGTCATGTTCATTTTTTTCTTAATAGTCTGCCAAAAAAATCCTACATAAACAGTTCTGAAACATGCAACACTAAAGCATCTTAGGATTCAGCAAAGTGCCTTGCCACTACATTCACACTTATTTCTGTCTGTGTTTAAACCCATAAAATCTTGATAGATAATAACTGACAGACTGTGCTTTTAGTGACAGGTAGAAGCACAGTGGGTGAGTATTTTGCATTCCCTCCAACCTGTTTTGCTAGGCTAAGGTATTGGATGCATGTGACTGTCTCCTAAAGGATTCCTTCATTACTATGGGCAAGCACTAACGTCAGTAAAATCTTGCCAGTCTTTTAACAACTTCAACTAGTATCTCCCTGGTATTTCCCACAGGAGGAAAAGCTACTGTGCCAAAACATCGACAGTAAATGACAGTAAATGCACTGGCCAATTTAATTCAGACAACCTTGCAATAAATGTGGGAGAACCATCTTCCTGCGTTCTTCTACACCAGAAGAAATATCATTATCTGGATTATAAAACATAGAAGAAATGAATTTTTCTTGAAGTTACAAATTCCTTTTTTACATCTTGGAGATAACACAACTGGAAAAATAAGATTTCCAGAAATCCTGAGGAAAAAACCAAAAAAAATAATTTCTAATGTCTTTCATCTGTTCCTTCTACCATCTCTATTTTCAGCTCCACACAACATAAAACCACTTTCAATCCCTGACAGATTCCTTGCTGTGCCGGTTCACTTGAAGCAAATGAAGTATCAACAGCTCTCTCTAAGAAGTCTCAATCCCTAAATGACCTTTGTGTATAATTAACACACTTTTTTACAGCACCTTAGTAGTCCTTTAAAGCTATCTAGTACTGACAGCTGTCTCTTAAAATAATACTGTATCCTTGCCACACTCTGCTAATAGCCTTAATCACTTTCTTTGGGTCTCCATTCAGCAGCAATTCTGGTAATCAGAGTCTTTATCTTGTCTGAGTCCGTATCTTTAAAAGCAAATCAGGCTCACGGATGCAAAGTCCAGAACAAAACTACATTTGACTGCAGTTATTACTAAAAAAAAAAAAAAAGAAGATATAGAAAGCATAAAACCCAAATATGCATCCAGATAACATCCTATTTCTAAACTGCACAATTCCAGATGAAAAACATACTGGTTTTATTTCTTTTCCTTTTATTTTGGTACCTTGTGCATCTCTGCTTAGGAATTTGACAGGAAATTTACTTCACTGTCACAACTGATTAGCACTTATAGCACAAGCCTCTGCATGACACAGCACCAGATTCCCAACATCTTCTGCCAGAACCCTCTGTGCAGAATTCATGGGAACATTAATTTATTTGCAGGTATCTTGCATATTGTTACATTTTGGTTTTAATACGACAACAAAAAAAGGAAAAACATTTGAGATTTAAGAAGCACACTACTAATTCTGCAGAAATGGGAAGAATAGCACAAAGAAAATGAAGGGACTCAATTCAGTCTTGGCCTTGCAAGTTACTCTTGTTTAGTTTATTATACCATCCAGATTTTACCATTACACATTTCTTGTATGTCTTTGTATAAGTTCTGATGCATCACCCCAGTCTATATGAAAATCATGATTAGATGTACTTTTACATTTCATATTTAATGTTTTAATCATGTGGTAAAACTAACTTTCGCTAAATTGTTCGCAAGTGTGATTAAAATCTGGGTTCAATACGTATTATTTTAGTGAATGACCATTAAAAAAGTTTCATGTGCGACAAGATAGTATTTATTCATTCTAGAAGCACTCAAAATAAGGTCTACCAAGTACCCACCTGATAAAAACCTGATAAAGCCAGGTATTTATGCAGTAAACCTGTTGTAATAATGCAACTTAAGTTCTTTCATGATTAAGTTACGGACTGATTTCTCTAAACATTACCCTAAACATCTATGCTTCAAATACATCAAGATTTAAAACACAATCCTAGTAATTTTGTTAAAAATGTTTTATTTTACAACTAGTAAACATGTTTTATTTTGCCAGAAAGTAAAAAAACAGACTCACGCATAGTATTTCATTATTTCCTTTGTACTTAGTTATATTCTGCTCAGTATGTGTCCTCTGTAGTAAAGTTAAATTGCGGGTAAATTGGTTTAGAAAAAGTATTTTTCAGACATTTAAGAAATCAGTGGATTACCCTCTAAGAATGCTGCCAGAGACTGGAATGTCTTAGTAAGAATCAGTTAAGTTCTGTAATTAAGAACTTCACATCATCGAGTTCTCTGTATTCTTCTGTAGAATCAATCAAGCCAGATAAAGAACATATTGAAGAACAACTCCTAACTTTCATGCAACTCCAAAATTTCCATTCTCAGGTTTAATAGCACATTGCCCAAGTCAACAGTTACCTCACAGAACATTAGTAGACAGAAGCAAAGAAAAATGTCAGCTTTTCTTACCAGCTTATTAATCGCATCTTAACTGATCACTTACTGGTTTCATTTTGTAGAGCAGTTTCTTCTTTTTCAATTGTTACCAGTAAGTTTTCAGTGAGGTCTGCTCTTTTGCCCACAACTGCAAAACCATTCCAGACATACATCATTTCCTGACAAAAAAAAATAAACAAGACAAACTCATGAAATTACATAAATATTTAACTAAAGAGTATCCCTTGAAAGGTTGTTACGGAACATTTTAAGTACATAAAAATATTGCCTACAAAAACTTGTTTTAAGCAATATAAAAGGTTTCAAAGCCAAAACACTCACTGTTGGGAAGCCCATGAATAAAAGTTTCTGTATGACTTCAAATAACCACCCACAATGAGTGTGGGACATTCTGTCAGTTACATGCAAGTTTACAAAGATAATCACATCCGCCTTAATAATAATTCAATTAAAGTTGCATAAGAGTATCTATGCATAGGGGAGGCAAAATGACATTGAATGTGTGTGGGCAAAGTTAATCTGGGTTTGTAAGTTTTGAATGTTTTGACACACTTTTAATGGATTCTATCATGTATTTTCATAGGTCTTTAAAAACAAAACTGAACAGATTTTATCATGTGATAGTTTATCATCACCCATGTAACACATTAGCAAAGCTGGGTATTTTAGGTTCAACTTGTGGTCCCTTGCCATATGAACTAAAGATGGAGCTGAAAGTAGTTACCTTCTACAGGATTACATATAAATTTGTGTATGGCTTGTATCAAGAACAGTGTGGCCAGCAGGGCCAGGGAAGTGATTGTCCCCGGTACTCAGCACTGGTGAGGCCACACCTCGAGTTCTGGGCGCCTCACTACAAGAAGGACATTGAGGTGCTGGAGTGAGTCCAGAGCAGGGTAACGAAGGTGGTGAAGGGTCTGGAGGGTAAGTCTGATGGGGAGCGGCTGAGGGAGCTGGGGGTGTTTAGTGTGGAGAAGAGGAGGCTGAGGGGAGACCTGAGGGGAGACCTGATCGGTCTCTACAACTACCTGCAAGGAGGTTGTAGTTAAGTTGGGGTTGGCCTCTTCTCCCAGGCAACTAGTGACAGGACAAGAGAGCACAGTCTGAAACTGCACCAGGGGAAGTTCAGGCTAGAAATGAGGAGTCATTTCTTCACAGAAAGGGTCATTAGGCATTGGGATGGGCTGCCCAGGGAGGTGGTGGAGTCACCATCCCTGGAGGTGTTTAAGAAAAGAATGGACGTGGCACTTAGTGCCGTGGTCTAGGTGACATGGTGGTGTTAGGGCACAGGTTAGACTCAATGATTCCAGAGGTCTCTTCTGACCAAATCAATCTGTGATTCTGCGATTCTATGTATTTGTGGGTGTGCACGTATATACAGTATACATATACGTGCATGCACCCAAACACACAGTCATGTGTGTTTACATAGAGATGCCATAATCTATAGTCTGTTACCTTCCATACGGAGCAACACTGGAAGTAGATAAACTTTCTGAATAAAAATGTGGTTCCAGTACGCACACCCAATACAGGCTTCCAATATAATTCCTACAAAATCTTATTTTAAAAATAATAAAAATCAAGGCAAAACCTGGCACAAAGCTTCCCAGATGCTTCAGTACAATAGTAAGCAATATGCTTGTTTCGATGCATTAAATATCTCATTGTAATATATTAAGAGAATGAGAGAATACACATACAGAGTTCATTCTAACCAATACGAAACTCTGCCAAGATCTTTACTCAATCATTGCAAACTCAAGAGTATAATTTATTCTACTGTATTTGAATTGTAATTACAGCTCTGAAATATGAAGCCTGATGTCGTTCTGTAGCTGATACAATACATGGTTGAGTATTTCTGGTTATATTTGTGCTGTAACTATGTGGGTTTTCAGAGGGAGAAAAAAACTGGTTCTATCCAAGTCTGAAATAGTATTATTGACACTATCAACTACATTATGCTAGATTCGTTTCAATTCTGTAGTACTGTCTAATTTATGCTTACTGCAGTAATAGCATACACTATGTTTATTTTTGTTTAACTCATGATGGAAAAATTCTTAAAATAAAAGATACTGGATTTGACAGCAAGACCAAAGATATATACTCATAACTAAATAGCACTGTGCTGTACAAGCCCAAGACAACTTTATTACTTGCGGCCTTTATGTGTAAACTGAGTATACAATGAATTGTAAAACGGACAGACTAATTTTCTTTGGATCCCTCTTTCTATATCAGTGAGCTTTAACATAAGAAACCCCTTCTCAAATTGTATTTTTCATCTTCAGTTGTTGCTAAATTATCCATGTACAAAAATTTTAGCATACACATATGCAAAGTATCATTGCTATGCACACATAAATGGACTGTGCACTACAAATGCCTCTGAACTTAAAAGCATGGGAAATTAGGATAGTATTAGTAAAGTATCATTAACTTCTGCACTTTTTACTCAGACTCAATACAAAAAAAAAGAACCCACCACTTTTCATTTTCACCAGAAGAACAGAAAGTGCTGAAGTACTCATTACCTTTCTAATGAGTCTGGAGGACAAGGACTGAAATCCTGCCAAACTAAAGAACATGAGCACATATGCTAAAAACCAATGCAGCTGAAAGGTCACTTTTAGCTTCATGTGGCAACAGCAATCATTCTATGTATGTTTGAACTTTCATGTGAAAAATCTGGCTCTGGTTTTGGACTGCTAGTAGTTGGTAACATCATCCAGCCCCTAGTACATTTCACAAAAATCCCACTGCATGAACGCAGTAATTCTTAAAAAAAAAAAATGCAGACGCATACTACCTGAAAATATTATTCTTTCTCTGTAGAATGAATTATACTTATTTCTTTTCTGTTTGAGAAGGACGAAAAGAAAGCAAGCATAAATACCAAGGCAGGTAATATCAGCTTCACTGGTTGAGAACTTGCATAGCGTCGAGCTTTCCTTACTGCAAACTTCTCAGTTGGGATAGATTTTCCTGCAATTCTCTGTTTTAGACCATCCACTTGTCTACAAGGAGGGAAAAAGGAAAATAGAAGTTGCTTTATATAATTTTTATTTCATCTTATTTCATTTAGTAAGATTTGCTGTTCGCCTCTGAAGTATAACATCTTAAATTGCTTCACACCACTTCGACTGCAGTTGTAGGAAGTCTGTTTGCTGATACAAGCAGCATTTTAAACACTCTGATGCTAAAAAAACAAAAACCAAAAAAACTGAAAAGTTGATGGTTACAAGTGGGAAGTCAGTCACACAAGACAAAGTTACTCAAGTCAAAAAACTTTTATATAGGGGGAAAAAGATAGCACATCTAGTTGCTTTATAAATGTTTACCTGAATAAAGATACAACGTCCTCACCAGTCCTTTCCAAGTCATCCTCTGGAAGCATACATAGAATTGCTGCCTTCTGGTATACATATATTGCCTGTTTCAAAAAGAAATAGCAACAAATTACCACATCTAATTCACTGCGTTCAGTCAATACACTAAGGACTAAAATTTCTCATCTCACTTGCTGCAGCAAAGTGTTTCCAGTAATTCTCAGGCAGGTGGAACTACAGAAATCTAGCATTTCCTTTGTCACCTAATTTATACTACAATTTTATTTTTAACATATTTATTAACATTCTAAATATGTTAGTAAGAATGCTAAAGGTGTCTCCTGTGAAGAACAGGACAATTTATTAAACAAATCACTGATAAAGAGATGAGGTTAAATGACAACTATTCTGAAGTTCATTACTGCTATTATATAATCCTTTATGTGTAGAAGCACGCCTGAAAAAACAGAAGAAAGTGTCTGAGTACTGATTCAAGGGAAGTTCAGTAACTGGACTTTGCAGAGGAAAAAAATAGAAACATCCATAATTCTATTCAAGACATTTGCACTTCACATTGAATATACTACTCGCTTTCCCTTTTGTCAAGAATTGGATGAATCCCCTTTTCCTCTAAGCATAATAAAACAATAATCTAGACAGGAACCGACAAAATGTATCAAAAATCATTTGCACATTGTGCTTGGTTCATACTTTGAGAAACATTTTTACAAGGAAAAGGTAGATATCCCAAATTTTCTCATGAGATCTTGTCTCCAGCAGCCTTCTCATTTCATGTCACAAAGCAGCTGCTGAGCAGGCATGCTCTCATCTGTTTATAATTAATTAACAAACACAGTTTCTTCAGCCAAGTTTTACTAGCGAGTGTTAGAACTTGACTTGAGATGCAAGTTAACAGTTTTTCTGTCCCTCTTCTTTCTCACAACTCTGGTAAGTATCTCTGGTTTTAGAGGGGCTGAAACTTTATTGCTCTGGTACTTCAGAATGTGAATTAAAAATTCCTCCTTATCCACCCAGTTCAACCTACCACTTTGATGCCAACGTGCCTTTGCTTATGGGTTTCAGAAGAAAGCAAAAATTGCACTTATTGTGCAAATTGAAATGCAAATTCAACTGTGGAGAGGCTACAATGTCCACCTGCCCATTTACCTTAGACCACCTGCTCTCTTTGCTGAGCAGGTCTGCATACCGATATGCTTGAAGCCAGTTCTGCTGGAAGGTGTAGCACCACATCAGTTCCCAGTAACAGAGATGATGAATCTGTTTCCACTCTTGCTGGGCTGCTATGCATTCTTGGAACCTCAACTGCGCCTATGATGTAGTTAAGTATGATGAAAATTGGCTCAATTACAGCTCCACATGAGAGTCATGCCTAACTACAGAGCAAATTCTTACCTAGCACCCAAGTGGAGAACACCTGACTAGTAAAATAAGGTAAGCTTCCCTTTCAGTCTCACTTACAGAGAGCGAGCTGGAATCAGTATTGACAGTGAACATGAACAGGGATAAGAGCATAATTACCAGTCCAACTAAAATAAGTTATTTAGATGAGTCAGATTATTTTTCCCCAAGTTGAACACTGAACAAATACATTTTTTCTTTAAGGTTTTTATTTACCTTTTCAAAATTTCCTTTCAGTATATCTATTCTGGCAGCATAAAATAGAATAATGGAACCCTTGAAAGGAGATGAAAAAAATACCCAGTTAGTATTTTAAGCTTAGGGAAGTACATTGTTGTTATAAAATCAATTGAGAATACACACATTCGGAAATTTCTGTAGGTACGGCTCGAGGAGACTGGTTGCTTCCTGAAGGTTGGCTTCCCCTGTACCTAGAAAACATAACAAACCAACCTCAATTTACTTAAAAAAAAAAAAAAAGAGAGTTTCATACATTGAATAGACTAACGGATGACTGCTTTTATGCAAAAGAAGAAATACTGCATCACATTGTGTTTCTATAAAAATTAATTCTTGCCCTGAAGGTTCTAAGTGTTTTTAAGATAGTAAATGTCTGTAAGTAGAAACACAATAGAATATATGAATATTCTTTAAACTGTTCCATTATAGATCCTAGTTATGTTCTTAAATCCCTTTAATTGCTTTAGCAAGTTAGGAAAACATTAGGAAAACATTAGGATTCCATTCTCTGCTCTGCCTCTTTTCCCAATTTTGAGGTCACTAAGGAAGTACAGGGGATACTGAAAGAAATTAAGTTCTCCTTAATTTCCTGATGAGCCTGAGGGACAAGGACTAAAATACTTCCAAACTAAAGAACATGAAAATATATGTCTAAGATGCATACAGAATTAATGGTGACTTTCAGCACCATGTGGCAAAAGCAATTAATTCTCTACATGTTTGAACTTCCAAGTAAATTGTTTGGGAGTACAGACTTCTTTCTGGAAACAGTTTTTACAACATCTGCTGTTAATTAATGGATAACTACTTGTCTGAACTTAAAAATGTTTTGTGATATTCTGCTGTTGCACGTTGAGATAGCCCTGCAAATGGAACAAGATGTTGCCACAATGGTGTCTACCCTCACTGTTTCTGCAGACATAGCTTTGTCAGAGACATTCATTTCAGATCATAAGTATACAGCAATCTCCTGTTACAAAACTAACTGGCCACAGTTTCAAAATTCATTTCAAAAATATCACAATATCTATCCTAATATGTAGCACGACCGAACAGCCACACAGTGGGTCTCACCAAGGATTAAGGAGACGTAAGTATGATAAACCAACAGGGTGAAAGTACACAGAATGGCCCTCAAACTGCTGCCAGATGCGCCTTCCCGTAGTTGGCAGAGGCCCAACTCCTAAGAAACATCACAAACACATGCAGAATTAACTATCAGTATACAGAGATACTATTCATAGTTTCTGGCTCCCCTAAATTCAGTTTTCCTTTCAGACATAAGTATTTTGTTATTCAGCCCTTTGTTATCTCAGATCCAACACAATCTTCTACCAAAACAGTTCCACCATAGCTGATAGCTTAATCTTCTCCTTGCTGAGTGCTAACACTGAATAAAATTAACCATGTATTTCAGTGCTCTGGTGAAGTGGGAACACCATGCAGACACACAGGTCTACATCTCTTCCCCACTATTTTCTGGCTATGAGCCTTTCAGAATAATGTCTTTAAATCTATGTTCAGTGAGAAGCTCTCTCAACTGCTCCACTGCTACTTGTCTTCAAGAGTCTTCCTTCACAGAAACCTCTGGTTATCCTCAATTCTCTTCCATCAAGTCAGCCACTGTTTTGAGGTTCTGATCAAAATATTAACTCTGCTGACATAGCAACTTCTAGATACTGTTTCCAGAACCTACAATGGAATTTGTGTGGCTGAAAAAAGGAGTTCAGATTCATGAAAACTTATACAGCTCTTAACACATGAAACCTCTTAACATATGAAAATTCTTTCCAGTTTATCCTCATTACAGAACAGCTTGGGGGATCATTGAGACAAGCTCAGATCTTCCCTGCTCAAGAGCAGTGGATCTTCAGAAATGTAACAGATTTTAACAGTTTTGCCTCAAAACAAGGACTAACTTAACAGGATTTTTATTGCATAGCAACTTGATGAGTTATAGGAGAATTCAAGCACCATACAAAAAAAACCCCATGGTGATACTCCAAAATTGTTCTTTTCCTTTCAGCTTTTATTGCCTTTTCAGTCAGGACAAAAATGTGTATGATGCAAGAGCTTCAGGATGAACCCAGTTTTTCACAGGAAGAAACAGAATGAATAGGTCTCTACCGAAGTCTAATTTTACATAAGCAGAACCATATTTGTGGACAAACTAACACCAATAAGACCATACGGTGACTCTTTGTCTCATAAACCACCATAAGTTTAGTTACATATAAAATTCTGTGCGTTGCTTTGGGTCTTGTGTTCAGTTGTGGTTTTTTTTTTTCATTTCGTATGACTGCCAAAAAGAGTTTTAAAGGGCTGTGAGATACATACAAAACAGGCTAGGTTTACAAAAACAAGGCTATGGTCACAAATACTTTCCTCATCCATGAGAAAAAGATGTACTGAGATTCCACAGTGACACATGATACTCAGAAATTCCTTCTCACAAAGAAAAGGGCTGGGATTGTGGGTGGAAAAATGTGGAACTGTGACTTTCCCCTCAGTTACTGGTATGAGGAACATTAATTTCTGACTGTATTGGCTAGAAAATAAAGCTGATATTGCCTCCTTAAGGATCAGCAAAAGGAAAGAAAATTGCAATTTGAGAACATCCTCTGAAGCAGACTGGTCATTTCCCATGGTTGTTCAAGATCAGGATATCACCATATGTCCTTTTATGCCTGCACCATCTAACTCATTTATCTTTTTAACACCACTAAAATGCTGATAAACAATACAGATCATTACAGTTTTAGTGTGAAATACATCATGTTAAATGCATCCAGTCTTTATCTGAGAAAAGACTAATTTGAAAAAACTAATATGAGATCCAATACCCTATTGCCAGAAAATCCAATAAATTCTAAAAGTCGAAGGATCCTTCCTGGTAAAAGTGACAGCATCTGAAATACATTTCAAACAAAAATAAAATAAATAAAAACGTATGTTTAAAAAAAGTAAAACCACTATAAACTTGAGCCAAAAATGCCAGCTACTATGTTACATGCCATTACACAATAGTGAAAAGGTAAAACACAAAAGAACTCGAAAATAGACTTGCATGATCAACAATATACAATCAGACTTATCATCCTTCAGCCCTCTATTACATGCACTTTTTCTTCCCCTTGTAACTGCATTCTCCACATCCTACACAACAGAAAACTTACAAAGATGACAACCACCTTTTCAATGAGCATTACAAGAAGGTCTATTTGAAGGTCAGTTTTGAAAGATCCATTCACCCTAATACATTCTGCCCAGCAGAGAGTTTCTGTTAAGCTTCCTACTGAGGAGACTTCATGAAGAATAGGAAAGGTCAGTGCACTTATGAACAAAGACATCTACCAGTTGCTTGGGTTTTAAAGACCAACAGGTGCAGACAGACCTGAGCTCTTCTGGCCATACTCAGAACTGGCCAGCTCCAGTCTGGAATGATACAGAAATTAACATACCAGTAGAAATTAACATACTACCAGAAATCAACTCTCACCGTTGCCACAACAGATGTGAAAAGGCAACTTTAATAAATTGCAAAGAACACTACTAGCGGATGTACCTAGTTTTCTTTTCACAAACTCAGTAAACTACTGTTCATTCTTCTGAATTTGTGTTTATCTACGCCAGTCTACAGTATGCCACTAGAGCAAAAGAATGTTATATATGGGGGTGTTAGAATAAAAGCAGTCACTCCAGGTATCTTATAACCCACAGCATAAGCATCTTAAAAATTCCTGGTACACACAGGTAGTACTGCTTTACCTCTTGAAAAATACATAAATAAATTAGTCCAAGAGAATTAAACACAATTCAGAATAAATTAGTAGAAAGATCCTAGAAGTTATGCATGCAAAAAGCCACTGTTTTCATATTGCACAAAAGTTTCAAAAGCTGTATCTCCATTTTACAAATGCATAATTTTTAAAACAGGATTAGGGTACTGTATCTGCAAAGAAACAATTCTACAGAATTATCCTGATGGTCTTTCTGTGGTCTGAAGAGTCATACCAAGTTGAATGCTCCAATTCCAAGTTTTACTCCTCCTTCAAACTGGTAATAAGTTTCATTTTTGCTTTTGTTCCCCTGAGTCATCTGTAGCACCTGATGACATTCTCTTTTGATGCAGGAAAAAAAAGGAAGGAAAGGGAAACACGACTTAGTGATTATACTTCATATAATTTCTATAATTGCTATAAAAATATTTATTTTGGAGGCATTAATACAACTGCATTTGCCTACACCAGCATTGAATCTAAGTGTTTTCTAATGGCTTACTTGTATATTTGGTAACTCGTCCTAATTTTGAGGCCACCTTTGATAAAGTTGATCATATTTTCATCCTGGAAGAAAAAAAACTTAATTGTACAAAAATGTGCATTCAGCTATTATGTATAACACATACATTAAAATCTTCCAGCTACACTTAAATTTATTTGTAACTTAATAGTCATTGGAAATATTAAAAATATTTTTCAGTTATTAGACTCATCTAAGACTGAAGTTCACACTTGCTTAAGTTGTCACGGAAACACCCCTCTGGTGCATGTTACAAATTTTAAAACTTAGGAGGGGAGTGAAAAAAGTCAGAGTTACTTTTAACAGAATCTGCGAGGCATATAAATGAAACAAGAAAGCTCTCCACCAGATGGTGCTGTAGGAACTTTTTAGAAAGTTTTGAAATACCGATTGTGACACACACAAGCGAGCCCAGAACCTAGCAGAAGACAAACCAAAGAATCCCCTCAATATATGAATTCCCATTGCTTATCAACAGTAACCACGTGTACTACCCAACACATGTGCTTATTTACATCTAGAAAAATCAAAGTAAAGCCACAACATACTAGCCATCAAAAATAAATTCTTGAAAAGCAAGATCGTTAACAGTTCAACAGGACAGAATTTTTTGGTTTAGAAGTCACACAGAAGGGGAACATGTGCAGGCATTTTGGAAATGCACATTTAAATCCTCAGGGACAGCATATATGATGCAGAAAATGAAAAGGCACCAAAAAAAGCCTCAGAATCACCAAAGGAAATTCTGGCTTCCATAAAAAGATCACCATTTCAAAAGACCTGAACTGTTTTGTCTGCAAGACTGAACACCCAAATGTAAATGTTTCAGTACAAGCATGCTTGCTACCTCTTTCCAAATGGTTACATTTTCATTATCATCATCATCCTCAGATGAATCAAGGGCAGTCAAGGATGAAAAACAGGGGGCATGAGAGCAATCAGTAGAGCAGGGTATTATAGTCAACAGCAATGGATCTCCTACATGATGGATAGCAAGGTGCTGCTTTAGAGAAAGTATACCGTGAAGGTTTTTTTCATTTTATACAGTCCTAAACTCACCTCAATAACTGTTCAAAAATTCTCTTCATGCTTAAAAAAATCCACCACAAAAAAAAAAAAAAAAGGGTTGCTTCCATTTGGTTAGCAAAAGAAATTCAGTTACTGGAAAGACTGGCATTCCATTAATAATATTTCCTGACACTTCTGGCCAAACTACTGTATTAAATGGTTTATAAAGCTTTGTCAAATTAACTTTTTAGGTCCATCTGATACTAGTATTTTTCTGTCTCATTTCTTCTAATATTTATATCTGAAGGGATTATCTAAAACACACTCATTAAACATTTGTAAAACACTCATACATTAAAAAAGTATGACTAACAACTCCTGTTTCCAGGAACTAATTTCAAATCAAATTTGAAAAAACTGTAGCATAAAGTCCCTGAACCACAAGTTAACAAGAAGCACCAGACAGTATTAAACAGCATATCTTCCTGTGAACTGAATTATTACCTCAGCAATGCTAAGGCTTGCTCATTTTATAATCAATCATTGCTATATTGTTCCTGACATCATGTCAAAAGTGCATGGAGAGTGACACTGAATTGGAGACAAGTGTGCATCAGATGAAGTTTTATTAGTTGGGAAACATTCTATTCTTTTCATGTGAAGAGAGACTTGCACGTTGAAACAAGAGATTTCTTCATACTCGAGCATCTTTTTTAATAAGTGCTGGACACTTTCAGATGTGATGCAAGTCATTTAAACACAGCATCTGTGTAAGACTGCAATATACCTTAGGTTTTTGGTTCCTGGGTATTAACAACATCTCTGGTTATTCATATAAACAAAAAGAGGATTTTCCAGGGTAGCACAGCATTTACTGCACTTTCAATCACTGCCATGAAATAATATTCATTCACTAGGAAGAAGTTTGGGTTTTAAATACCATATCTATTGTGTGAATGATGTTTTACAAGTACTAACATCTTTCCATTAAACTGCTACACAGATATACAAAATTAACAATTGATTTTACCTGTACGAAGGTGAGAGCTGCCTTCTGTAGTAAGCATTCAGCATAGCAGATTTCAGCATGCATTTCCTCTATATAAGAAAGAAAAGATATTTAATGTCAGCAAAGTTATTGCCAATATTGTCTTCTTGGGGTCAATGGAACAAACAAAATGCTGCCAAGATGGAAAGGCAAGATTCTGCCGTTACTATTTTGATAAGTGCTGAATAATAAATAGCTGTAACACACAAATGCCAATAGAAGTCTTCTATTTCACTTCTCCTCAGACAAAAACTTTGATCTTGCCATAGCCGACTTCAGCCTAGGGCAAAAGCTACTTCTCATTCTGGTGGATGATCTCCTATACCTTCCATTGACACTAATTTTAAATATCAGCCTACAGCAACTAGGTCTTCCAACCCTCCTTCCATGTCTTAGGAAAAAAAACTTTTACAGGTGAATGGTAACAGTCCCTGTGGTTGAGGCTTTTCCTAAGTTCAGTAAGACAAGTTTTCACCAAGTCAAGCTCAAACTGAAAGTCCCGGGCAGACCTTCTGTCCTCATGCAGTCCTAAAGCACATTTGACTTAATACGCATGACAGGAATTACTCTGCACCCATGCTGCAAAACCAGCCACGTGCACCAGGTTGATGTATGTACAGTGCACTCGTGGCGAGTTTGATGTGTCCAGTATCAAAGAGGATTCTTTTGCGTCAGGTTAGAAAAAAAAATGCATACTTGATTCTGCCTGAATCAGAAACAGGAGATCAGCATTTTCAGAGCCATGAACAACATACTGATACAATTTCACAAAACACCTTAATGCAAAAAAGACAAGCACAAAACTTGTTACTATATTCAGATTCCAATACAACTGATGATAAAGACATATTCCACAACATCAATGATTCTTAAACTTCTGGGAGCTGACTTAAGGGGGAAAAAAAAAAAAAAAAAAAAAAAAAAAAAGAGGAAATCTGTCTTCAGTCCTATAATGTGTTGTGAAAGGCATTCCTTTCTTAATTCATGCATGCTCAGAGCCAAAAAAACCCAAAAAACAAACAGGCTGAATCCCTCATTTTGAGAAGCTTTGAATTCAAATTCAAAAACACCACCATATAGGTCGCTTGTTTGTTTGTTTTTTATTACAAGACACTAGCCAAGTTACAGAGTTTAGCATATTTGCACATATTGGTAGGGTATTTTTGAGCTTTTTTCACTTAGTTATTTTAATTGTATTATAAACCAATTACCTTCACTCAACTGATCCACTGACTGTTTAGAAACTAGATTGGACAGGGATTCCACCACTGTATTTCTTTTCCTGAATCTAAATCAGTTGTACATGGAAGAAAAGAAAACCACACAGCATGAGCAACATTTCAACACAAACTTGAACTTAATTATTTACAATTCTTAACCATTTCCAACCACAATTTACAGACATTCTTAGTAAAGTGATGATTTGCCAATAGTTGCAATTCTTTGAGTTGTCTAATCATGGCCACCTGTATGTGTCTAGGCTCAGAAGCCTATCCAACCTTAACTGATGTTCCAAACATACATTTAATCTACTTTAAGTGTACAATAGCTGCCACTCCACTTCCACCCATCAGCTGCAGAGGTCTCTCTGAGGTGTCTCTGATGCTGGGCAAGGCACTTGAACTGGATTTCAAAAAGTTTTATGAACTACTTTTCTCCATGTCTTAAACTTGAACGTAGAATTGCAACAAAAAAAAAAGAATCAAAAGTACCTCTGTTTTGAACAAAAATGGAAACATAAATACTTCAGTATTTTACGGACTTTTATGCCAGATATGATGCCAAGTACAAAGAGCCACCTAATTCTCAAACGTACTAAACATAGTTCAGATAAAACTGTGAATTGATAACACACCTGAAAGAGAGGCAGAAACTGCTGACCTTTTATTTTCTTCAGGTAGTATCTGATAATTTTATCTCATTTCCGTTTCTTTTGTTTGTCATTGTTAAGGAGGTGATGTTTAATGTCTAAACTAACAACATTTGGAGACAATTTCTTCGGAAACAATTCGGTATAAATTATGGTCTAACCAATATGACGAATAACCACAGTAGTGGTTAAAATAGAATACAGTAGAATAAAGCACTCCTTTCTGCTTTTGTCAGAGACATGTTAAGCACTTTAGCTTTGACAACCCATTTTCCAAGTTTTTTTAATTAAAAAATAAAGGTCAGTAATAGCTTTTATTTTCTACTCTATTTCATTACTATTTCAAGTAAAACCAGAAGCAAAAGGTTCAGATCATTCTTGATGGGGATAATAGCCCTTTAATTTTAAGGTAAGAAAAACACTTTTCTAACAATAATTTAAAAATTGCTTTGGTTTTAGAAGAAGCCTCAGTACAAGCTTAATCCTATTAGACTATTGGGTCTATCTTTGAAAACAACTCTTTAAAAAAAGAATATTTTCATGATGAAAGCAAAAATTCAAAATCTGGAGCTTTTAAATTCTTGATCCCCATGGAAAACAAAAACTCACAGGTTGAAATAGCTCAGGCATTTCAATCATGTAGTGTCAGCTTACGTGTAGATCTACATAGCCAACCAACAATTTAACTAACTTTAGAGGCTATACATGCCCAAGACCCGACAATTCTGTTGTTTCCACAATACCAGGAAACATACCCTTACCAATAATAATCGGATAGTGAGACTTAGTCCACATTTCCAAATTCAGATCAGTATCATTCTGACAATACCCTGCTTTGAAAGCATACAGACAGCTGGGATGATTTACAATGAATACCTGAGGGATTAAGTCCCTCATAAATGTTCATTGCTTGGGCTTACCTTTGGCAGGTTTGCAAAGCTTCCTTCATTGTAGAAATTCCCATTTGTATATCCTGCTGTTCAAAGGTCATAGCAGCTTGCATAACTAAAATAGTGCTGTACCCAAGGGCATGGTACATACTATCTTTAGACCTAGGGCAAACATATAAATCTTGTGCATTTAAGCAAAACTTTAAAACACAATACAAAAATGAAATGCTGAGATACTTGCATTCACTTGTGAAAAGACAGAAGAATAAAGCAGGAAAGTAATGAACATGACAACATAACCTAGTAAGTATCATCTTCCACTTCCATGGGTGCTACATGTCTGTCTCCGCGGGATACTGTTGCAGCAAGTTACAGAAAATATCCAAACTGGGTTACAGAAACACTTGCACTTAATTATATCCCATTTATAGTCTGCTGGTTTATCTATTTAAGCTAGCTAATTAAGCCTTGACATAAATACTCGTTCATCAGCTTCCACTTAACATAAGAAGTAAGGGCATCCGTCTAACATTATTACTTGATCGAAAGACACAAAAATCTGCATTTGTGTCATAGAAAAGTCAGTACGCACATGCTCAATCCTGCATAAAAAGCTACAGTGAACCAGCCTGGCTTTCACAAGATCATTACATAATCAAATGCCAACATTGTGTCAGGGTAAGTCAGGTTTTGTCTAACGAAGTTTCAAGAGGTTCAAGAAAATGAAGACTGCATACCCCTCTGGTAGCATCTCTGATGCTGTATTATCAATATATTTTTTCTTAATGTCCAATCTGAACCTTCTCAGCCTCAACTTGTGGTGACTGCCTCTTGTTTTGCCATCTGTCACTATGGAGAACGGTGTCTCTGTTTCTGTAACTTCCCCTCAATAGCTCCAGACCACTATTAGATTAATGCCCAAGTCTCCTTCTTGCCAAACTAAACCAAACCCAGCTCTCACAACCTCAATGAGTCATATGTTCTAGTCCTCTAGCCATGCTGCTAGCCCTCTCTTAGATCCTCTCCAGTTTCCTCAATTTTTTTCTTCCCCCTAAATCAAGGAGCCACCGACTAAATGTAGTTTTGAAGACAGGAAACTTCAGCAGAGTCAAGGAAGACACACCCTTGGACCAAGTGTTTATTTCTTAAATATTTCAATACCTTCCCTAAAACTTTTACATTATTTAAGGACTTAAGTTAAACTTTCATTAAAAGGCTATTTTTCAGTAAAACAATTGGGCTTTTTATTTTTAAAAGGTGGCTTTTTGTTTCCTTGCTAGGCTAGGTCCTCCTTTGCAGACCAGCTGAATATGCTCAGAGTCCATTAGCTGCCAGGGACTCAAAGCATGAAAACCATGGAGTTCAGAATATTCTTTTTCTTCATAGTAAATGTCAACTAAAACAAATACTTCACTGTACATGAAAACACCGTTGTATGAAACAAGATTTTGCTGTTTTACAACACAAAATGAAATATATATATATATGAAACATACAAAAAACATTTGAGTAATATATGTATGTGTATTTAGTAATACATGCATGCACAATCCTTGCATGTAGAACTTAGCATTTTGCCACACTACCCAAAAATAGCTTCAGCACACACAAGTGCAAGTGGGCCTTCTCAAAGCATTGGTCTATTACAAATAACCCTGCATAACGCTCAGAGAAAACAGCTTGGGTATAACTAATTTGAAAAGGTGTTATTCCTGCCTACCTCCTCTACACTTGAGCTCTCTATACCACCAAAAGCAAATCCTTGATAACTGTGTCATCCTCCCAAGGTTTCATTTAATGGTGTTCTTCCACCTGTCCATACTACTGACCTAACACCACCAACCCATCATTCTTAATCCAGTCTTACTATCACCAAACTGCAGAGTGAGAACTTTACCTTGCTCCACTAACACAAGCTACAGATCCCTCTCTCTGACACATCCCTCAACATCATATGCATCTTCGGGAGACAGACAGGAGAACAGTGAACAGGATTCAGATCCCAGTCCTAAAGAACAGAGATA